CCCGGACAAGCGGCAGATGATGGATGGATGGATGGATGGCCAGGCCTCACTCACCACCCGTGGGTCATGTGATTTTGTCAATGCTGGGATAAGTGCTGTGGTCAGGATGTAGGTGCCTGAAAACAGTAAGAGGCAGGTGGTAAAGGCACTGGATCAGCTTAGATCTCAGCATCACTCTCAACAAACAGCTGAATGAGCAACCTAATCATAGGTTTCACACTAAAATATCCAGATGTACAAACAGGGAAAACGTATAGAAATGCAAGTCATGTCAGTTTGTAGGCCAGCAGGAGAACAGTTTGTCTTCTCCTGGGACCTGAGTAGGAGTAACAGAAAGGGGGAGTTTTCCCTTCTCACCCAGAGTGTTTGTGGCAAAGTTCTTCTCCAGCCCGTCCTCCTGAAGCTCCCTCTGGTTCACCATGCAGCCAGCATTGTTGATCTGGGAGCCACATCAGATTAATAACAACTAATGGAAGCAGGAAACAAAATACACCCATTCACCACTGCTGCTGTACTTTAGAGGAGGACCCCATCCAAAGATTTTCATCAAAATTATTCAGCTGTCTTGGACAGAAGAACCTGTTCAGCATTTAAGTATTAACCAAGAAAATAAACTCAGCATCAAATTTTGTCAAAATATTGATATTTTTAACTTTTTTGATATTTTGAATTTAATGCGGTACTGTTTAACACCAGCAGATGTAGAGTCAACCATTTTATTTCATAACATTTACATATTAAAAATACGCTGTTTGTGTAGCCTGTGCAATGCAAAACTACAGTACAATCATGTCAACTGTTTTTTTTTTAATAGAAACGCACACTTTGCACAAAGAAATGCATGATTCATGCACCTTAGAGTTAGGGTTAGGGAAGTGTGCAACAATTTTATTGAAGATACTGACTCATCCTTGGTAGTTAAATGGTGTTAATGCCTGTTAATTACGTTTGGCACATTTTAAATTTTAGTAGTTCCATCAGGATACGATGGTGACCGTGATGCATCAAATTGTAACACTAGTTAGCCATACCCAGCCATAACACTGAGAATGTGTGATGCACGTAACACGGAGTCATATAAATTAGTGCTGGGCAAGTTAACGCGTTATCGCGTTAACGCAGTACTTTATTAACGCCGACAATTATTTTATCGCGAATTAACGCAGTTTATTATATTAGTAGTAGTATTATTTTGAAAGTCTGTTGCTCGCTGGCTCTGAATCAGAGCATGTGAGCGGAGTGGAGCGGAGCGTGAGCGAGGAGCGTGAGCGAGGAGCGGAGCCGGCTGAATTTGGTCAGAGCGCGAAGCGGTTT